AGCAAAGTGCTTTTGAATAGAGCGCCGTAATGGCGGAGACAGATGCCTGTGTGATTAGAGCTTATTAATACCCAACAAATCTCTGACGTGAGTGAGAACTTTGATGGCTGGGAGAAAGGCCCTCGAGAAAGCGAGAGACCATCATGGATATTTGTGCATGCCCGTGAGGGGAGGATGGTGGGCACTCGTTCCTTGTGTTTCTGTCATTCTGCCATCTACTGAAATTATATCCAAAAGTATTAGCGCAAGACGAGGGTAGTGTGGTTAGTGTGAGTTATTCTCTTCATTGAGGTTCAGTGGGAGCGCTAGGGTTCTTGATTCAATTTTAAGAGCAAAAGTTCGGACCCCGAGAGCAAAAGTTACCTGGTGTTATAAATATTAATATATATATATATATAATATTTTATAAATTACGTATAAACCCATTTTATAAATTACGTAGCTCATCCACATACTTTCTTTTTTAAAAAATTATATATATATATATATATAATATATATATATATAATATATATATATATTATATATATATATTATATATATATAATATATAATTTTTAAAAAATAAAGTATGTTGATGAGCTTTGTAATTTATAAAATTGAAAAATATAATTAAATAATAACTAGGTCAGACATTACTAACCGACTAACTTTGCAACTACTCAACTAAGTCTCGTTAGAGTATTAGTGGACTGTTAGGTTAGGGTTCGGGTTAGTAGATGAAGTTGACATTTACTTGTAAAGTTATTTATAGTCAGTATAATGTCTGTTGAGGAGCATCAGAATAAAGTGTTAGCAGATATTAATCAGAAAGTCTACTAATACTCGAATGAGAGTTAGTTGCAAAGTTACTTATAGTTAGTTGAATGTCTAAAATGGACTATTGAAATATAGTGTAACCTAAAACTAAATCCATAAAATAATCACATGATGGGAACCCCAATACATATATATATATATATATATATATATATATATAATAGTGAGGCGATAATAATAACGTAAGGTTTGATTGGATATAATTTCTTTTTTTTTTTTTTGTCATCGGCTGCTTATCGGATGGTATGGAAGCTTGTTTCCACCACAGAATAAAACATTTTAAAAGATAATTGTGACTTTTTAAACTCAGAATTGCGAGATATAAACTCAGAATTGCATGTTATAAAGTAAGAAGTGCGAGATATAAACTTAATATATCTCACAATTCGGAGAAAAGATGTCAGAATTGTGAGATATAAACTTGCAACTGTGAGATATATATATAAAAGTCCAAGTCCAAGGAAAAAAAGGGTATAGTTTTCTGTAGAAGTGGACTTTATATAACTCATAATTCTGACTTTATAACACACAATTGTGACTTTTTTCTTGCTATTGCGAGTTTATATCTCTCAAGAATTGCATGATGTACAGTAAACTCGTGTTACAGTAAAATTGTGACTTTTTTAATTGTTATTCTGCGGCAGAAACGAGATTCCGGTGGCTAAAAATAAAGTTTCTGGCCCTCAGAAAGACAGAATGGAAAAGAATGCAGGAAAGTATGAATTGGACAGGATAGCATTTCTAAACATCCTCATTAACTTGAAAAAGAGGATTCACACACAGTCAATACAGCAGCGTCTTCACAGATCAATAGCGTTTTCACTAAAACAGTTATCACAGTAAGTTACGCTTCTGCTAATTGTTGACTGAAATGTAAAAAGAAACGAATTAGGGTAATTAACGGCACATTTCAGCGGCACAGGACTGAGTGGTAAATGTTTTGACACCGCAATCAAAAGGCGTCATTAGTCGTCTCCTTTTGACGTGCCACGGTATTCATTTCTTCTTTAGAGCGCCGATCACTTCTAATGGAGTCTTGAAATTACCACTCCGGCTGGGAAAAAGAGCCGAGCACATTTAAGTCTGATACAAAAAAAAAATACATAAAACACCAGGAAACACAGCCCAACTCATTTTCTCGGCTGGATATCTCCCAGTGACACATTTTTCCTCGGGTGATGCCAAATTCACATTTTATGTAAATAAAAGTGTCTGTGTGGAAAGAAAAAGCCTGCCCTTATCTGTCAACTTTTGACTATTAACCTCGGTGACAGGCACAGGCAGGTTCCTCTTATCTAAATTGAAAAACAGAGTTATTTGAATATCGGAAAGGGAGAAATGCAATATGCTTCTACCGTGGAATCTCACGCGTTTGCCCTCTATTGCTCCACGGAAGAGATAAGACAGTATTTAGCCCAATGTGGACACAGCTTACAAGAACAAAGTGACTGAGGCAAATCATTTGGAAAAAATAAAAAAAATAAATCTGCTTGCTTTTAATGGAATCGTTTTAATGGAGAACAAAGGGATGGCGTGATGTTTCCCCCTGGCAGGTGTTATTAACTAAACAGAGGTGTTGGACAGAATTCATAAAATCATACGAACCCCAGGGACTAACGCTATGTATTATTTAACTCGGATCTCAGATGCATGTTTTATTACTTAAAGGAGTAGTTCACTTGCTGATAGTTTACTCGCCCCCATGTCATCCAAGATGTCCATGTCTTTCTTTCTTCAGTCGGAAAGAAATTAAGGTTTTTTGATGAAAACATTCCAGGATTTTCTCCATATAATGCACTTTACTGGGGTCCAAACGGTTGCAAACTGTTCAAAGGGCTTTAAATGATTCCAGACGATGAATAAGGGTCTCATCAAGCGAAACGAATCGCTCATTTAATAAATAAATGACAAAGTTTAAGTTTTATAAGCTCAAATGCTCGCCTTGCTCTGTTCTGTGACGCACGTTCGTGACTCTCCTGTTCGAACTCGTCCATCAGAATGAACAAATCTTTTTCATTCAACGAACGAAACAAACGAATTGACTCGGAAAAAGATTTGTTCATTTTGATGAACGAGTTCGAACAGGAGAGTCACACAGAACAGAGCAAGGCGACAATTTGAGCTTAAAAAACGTAAACTTTGTTATTTATTTATTAAATGAGTGATCGTTTCGCTTGATAAGACCCTTATTCATCGTCTGGAATCGTTTAAATCCCTTTGAACAGTTTGCACTGAAAGTGCCTTTTGGATCTTGAACCGTTTGGTTCCCATTGAAGTCCATTATAAGGAGAAAATCCTGGAATGTTTTCATCAAAAACCTTAATTTCTTTTCGACTGAGGAAAGAAAGACGTGGACATCTTGGATGACATGGGGGTGAGTAAATTATCAGCAAAAGTGAACTACTCCTTGAAAGTCTCCTTTATAAAAACATGAATAAATTAAACAATCTAAAATATGAAAAGAACACAAAGCAAAAATGAACCCAAACGCATTTAGCAAATCATCGAGTCTGCGAGCATTTAGCAATGTGGCTTCAAAACCCAGAAAAATGCCCAGCGTGGATGTCTGGAAACTCATTTGGTCATGGCTGAGATGAATAGTGAAGCTTGTACACATGCTTATTGGCTGTTTATTTCCCTCCGAGTCTTTGAGAGAAGGCCTGACCTACTTACAGAGAGGAGGGATCTCTTCTGCTAGTCTAATCTTCAGAATAGCACAAGACGTCCCCGCGAGACCCGCTGCCTTGTTTCTCCACTGCGTGCCGTCTAAAAAGGCAAACGCAATCGGTGGGTGACTCGTAATATTCTGGGCCAGTCATTGTGTGAGACAACTGATGAAATTGGCATTGATATTGTGTCAGATCGCCTTCACTGTGTCTGTGCAATTATGGTAATAGCTGTGATTACGCCACTTGCCATTTTCAATATAAAGAGAAAAGAGGTTAAGAAAGTAGAAGATGATCCACTGGCTGGGCTACATCATGATGATCAAACTAGACTGTTCAATTTACATACACAACTTTATTATTATTTTATGATCCCAGTTGTATCTAAAAACCGGTTTTGAAAGGATATTCGTTGGCCACAACATGTCAGTTTTACTTAGTCAAATCAACCTTATAATTGGAGCGAACTGCATAGATAATTACCAATTTATGCATTACATAACCAACCAATATTATATATTAGCATATAACTTGTGAATATGTATCTTTAAATATACATTGACAACCAGTCTCATCACAGTAAAGATTCCTAGTTCATTTCAAGTTGAATGATTGATTCACTCGAATGATTCACTGACTGATTTTGATTCAAACTGATTCAATCAGTATCATGATGAATGCAATGCTAAGACTCTACTCCGCTCCTCAGGTTTTGCTAGGGTGTTCTGGGTGGTTGCTATGGTGTTGCTAGGGTGTTCGGGGTGGTTGCTTGGGTATTCTGGGTGGTTGCTAGGGTGTTTTAGGTGGTTGCTATGGTAAACTAAACTAAAGTAAAACACAATACAATTTAATGCGTGGTTTAAAACATGTTTTTTTTTTTTTAAATCAACATAATGCATTGAGCTCTGACTTCTCTCAGAGTATGTCGTATATAATTTGATATAATTTCAAACAATGTTGTGTCACAACATTAATGAAAATCATTTGTTCATGAATCATGAATCATGGCTCATGCTAATCGCTGGCTACTCCTGTTATCAGACAGGTTTCCTATTTTTGTCTGGCCCAATCAGGCAATGGTGGGCGGAGTTAGTTAAATAGCTTCTCCCAACAAGGCAGGGTTTTTCCATTTGATGTAAATAGATACTCTGCTAAAAGTTGTTTGTTGCTAGGGTGTTGCTAGGGTATTTAGGTGGTTGCTAGGGTGATCTGGGTGGTTATTGAATATTGACCATGATATTCTAGTCTCTACGTAGATATATCCTTTTTTTAACATTTGTTTTAAATGATTCACCATTAAAAGAGGCCTGCAGCTGCACGGCACCCATACTTACACGTCTCCATACCTTCGTCATCTTCGTCGGGGTTGACTATGGCCACACCTGGTTTGTCGTACGATTTGTCGATGGCCGCCCTGAAGCTCTCGTTGCAACCCCTTCCCCTGATGATCCTGGGACGAGGCCTGTGGAACGGGACGTCCCCGTTGAGCGTCACCTCCGCAACAGCTGTCTGGAGGCTCTCCAAGGAACTGGACTTCTTCAAACCCAACGACGGTCCCACGTCTCGCGTGGAGTTGCCTTCGGGGGGAGAAAGAGTAGAAACATGCCAGAAAGAGAAGAGAAAACACTCACTTTTTCCCTCAATATATCCTTCTCTCCTAATTCATTCCTATCATTTACATCCCTTGCTAGAGACGAATGTGCATACTGGGGGCGCGTTTATCTGCAGATGGAGGGAGAAAAAAGTGTGCTAAAATAATACGGAATATAAATGAATCCACTGGATGCGAAGTGAGGTGTCAGAAAGATTATCCGTCTCGCGAGGCAGAAAAACGTCACATTTTTAACTCCTGATGTCATTTTTGCTTCTTTTCCCCAATGCAAGACGATACGAGAGAAAGGGAAAGAGCACATAACTCCTTCCCGTAGTTTAAGGCACTGATGGATGGGCCAAATATGAGGCCCATTATCTTCGCTGTGTGGTCGTGGGAGGAGGAGGAGAACAAGAGGGAGGAAGAGCAAAAGCTTGTAGACTAAACACGCGAGATTCGAAGAGCCCAAACTCCCTCAACTCGCCCGCTTAATGACCTTTTGATGCATTTAATCCACTTGTTCCTCGTTAAGGGTCCCTCACAAAGACCCACACTTCAAACAGACAACATTAATCCTGCTTATGAAATCCTGTAGAGGAGGAATTCTGGAAAATAACTCAATGAAAGCAAACGGGCTTGGCTGCTCGGGTCAGGGATTTGCGTGTGTTGAACAATTGACAATAAATTGACAATTTGGGTCAAATATGGACAAATGTTTGGTTAAAAATGCAGTGGTGGAGGAAGTACTGAATCTCAGTACTTAAGTAAATGTACAAATAACCAGATAAATATTTACTTTAGTAAAAGTAGAAGTAACACAATGACAACCATACTTAAGTAAAAAGTACCTGATTTTAAATGTAGTTTAAGTATTAAAAGTAAAAGTACTTGCATAACAATTGATTCTCTTAATAACTATTTTCTAATGATTAATAAAACATTTAATTCTAACTCATTCAACCTAATACTCCTATAATGATGCTCAATAATGATGGAAAAAAATTGTTGTCACCATTTCTGAAACAAGCTTGCAATTAGGCAATATAAACCATGCTTATCCTTACTAGGCTATATGTTAATAACTATGTTTGGCAATAAACGCGATGTATTTATGGTGTAATTCTGAACCTCTTGGCTTGCCATAATCCCAACCAAACGTATATTACACACGGTGTGTTTCCTATGCACGTAAAAACAAATTTTCGCGTATAAATCGCACGATAAACACACTGCGTGCGAGACGCATTTAGTTGATGTATCTATGGCAACCAAACGTCACTGGTGAGACAAACGTGCAACGAACGGACTGGCAGGGGAAAAACTGATCAGAAAATGTAATGAAAATGTAACAGAAGTTGTAGAAATGTAGTGGAGTAGAAAGTATAATAATTGCGGCAAAATGTAACGAAGTAAAAGTAAAAAGTATGCACTATTAATTCTACTTAAAGGAGTAGTTCACTTTTGAAAAAACTTTTGCTGATAAATTACTCGCCCCCATGTCATCCAAGATGTCCATGTCTTTCTTTCTTCAGTCGAAAAGAAATTAAGGTTTTTGATGAAAACATTCCAGGATTTTTCTCCATATAATGGACTTCAATGGGAACCAAACGGTTCAAGGTCCAAAAGAGAGTTAATAACAGTTTCAGATGCAGCTTCAAATGTCTTTAAACGACACCAGACGATGAATAAGGGTCTTATCATGCGAAACGATCGGTTATTTCAAAACTCTTTCCAAAAATGTAACTTTTCTAAGGACAAATGCTAGCTTTGTAATATATTGTGAGGCGCGTTTGCAACGTCACGTAATACGTAATTACGTTCAAAAGGTCACGGGCGACGTAGCCGAAAGTACAGAATCAAAATCGTCCGACATCGTTGTTTTAACTTTTAATTCCTTTTTTGTAAACGGTGTTTGAGTCAGTTTGCACGTTCAACCTATGTGTTCAACTTGTAAACACTGACTCTGTACTTCCGGCTACGTCGCCTGTGACCTTTTGAACGTAATTACGTATTACGTGACGTTACAAACGCGCCTCACAGAATAGAGCAAGGCTAGCATTTGTCCTTAGAAAAGTTAAATTTTTGGAATAAGCTTTGAAATAACCGATCGTTTCGCATGATAAGACCCTTATTCATCGTCTGGTGTCGTTTAAAGACATTTGAAGCTGCATCTGAAACTGTTATTAACTGTCCTTTGGACCTTGAACCGTTTGGTTCCCATTGAAGTCCATTATATGGAGAAAAATCCTGGAATGTTTTCATCAAAAACCTTAATTTCTTTTCGACTGAAGAAAGAAAGACAAGGACATCTTGGATGACATGGGGGCGAGTAAATTATCAGCAAAAGTTTTTTTCAAAAGTGAACTACTCCTTTAAGAAAAGTAAAGATATGTGAAAAATGTACTTAAGTAAAGTAACAAAGTATTTGTACTTCGTTACATTCCACCACTGTAAAAATGCAATTAAAAAAATGTACAGTTGAAAATTTTAAATTACATTTGTTAACCTAACATTTGGGTTTGTCCATATTTGACCCAAAGTTGGGTTCAAACAACCCAGCAATGACTGGAAACAAAGAGTTGTTTGGCACCATTGACTTCCATAGTAGAAAAAAAAAATAAATACCATGGAAGTCAATTAGTGCCAATCATTCTTCAAAATATCTTCCTTTGTGTTCAGCAGAAGAAAGAAACTCATACAGGTTTGCGACAACTTGAGGGTGAGTAAATGATGACCGAATTTTCATTTTTGGGTGGAGTATGTCTTAAAGTAATTAAATACTTGCAGTAAACATCCAATACGCACAGAGTTGTGTTTGTGCAAACCCTATGGGACAGACTCTGGAACAGTTGCCAAGTCCTAAAAATGCTCTAAGCCACCTGCATGACTGGATAAAACAGTGTGTGTAGCTCAAACGATACACCTTGATAACTGCCAGTGTGTACACACATGCACAATCGTCTCCGTGATGTATGATGATTCCTAAAATGATGCATCTCATTGAAATGTATAGCGCAGCAGAGCAGTGTGTGTGTACGTTTAAACACAATTAGCATGCAAATGATAAATAAACACACGTTAACCGACAGCGCCGTTACTGTTCTCGTGAGCGTAGCCGAGATTGCCAGTTCTGTTTGCTGTGTCGTTTCTCACGTCTTGGCTATGAAGCTCTGAGTGAAGTTTGGTTTACTTTCCTCCGTTTGCACAGCTAGGATTATTTTGTCCGATGGCTGCTGTTGTGTGTTTAGATTTGGCTGATCGTACTGTCAGCGCACGCATGACACACAAGAGACTGCCCGCAATAAAGAAAAGAAATAACAAAATTTGAAAAACCTTGTAAATACAACACATGCCAAGTTCTTAGAAATGCACTTCATGTTGGTTTCATATGGTTCGAGAAAAGATAATGACTTTTAAAAAGTCTTTACATTACTTGACTGCAATTTTTCAAAGAGCGTTTGATATACACTGCTGTTCAAAAGTTAGGAATGGGTATGATATTTAATGTTTTTAAACAGTCCCTTATGCTCACCAAGGCTGCATTTATTTGATTAAAAATACAAACAAAAAAACAGTAATGTTGTTAAATATTGCGAACTGAACCTGAAATCTGACCCAATCAGCCCTGATTTATTGAAGCGCAGGTAAATGTGATATTTACTGTATGACAGTGGGTTCATGCGAAGATTGTTTTAAGTTCACTTAAATTATTTTTTTTTATATATTTTTAAAAGCCTAATAAATGCTAAAATGGATAGATTTCAATGGACTGTAAAACTGCTGAATGGCTATAATTTATGGCTATAATTTTTTATAGAGACATCAGTATTGGTACCGGTAATTCCGGCCTTCTTTCATTAAAAAAAGATGCCATTAAACAAATATTTAAAATATAGGTGACTCTCTTTATGTTGTTTCTACATTAATTAAAAAAATTAATTATGAAATTATTACAATATAAAAATATGTTTAAAAACATTATGTGTAATTAATCGTGATTAATTACAGAAAACAAATGTGTGATTAACTACACTGTTTGTTTAAGTTAAAAAATAAAGTAACCTGGTTGCCTTAAAATTTTAAGTTTATTAAAATGGAAAAACTGAGTACAATGAAGGAGATTGATTTAATCACCAGCAACAAAATATTATGTTATCTGAACTACATAAATTATTTAAGTTGATTGGACAGAAGTAAAAATGTGATTACAAATCAGGAAAATATTTTATCTTAAAAATGCTGGGTTGTTTCAACTCAATTGTGGGTGAAATATGGACAAACCCAGCCATTGGGTTCATTTTTAAATTGCATTTTTAATCCAAAGTTTGGGTTTGTCCATATTTGACCCCAAATTGGGTTGAAACAACCCAGCATTTTTAGAGTGTAGTTAATCACACATTTTTTCTGTAATTTATCACGATTAATCGCACATAATGTTTTTAACATATTTTATATTGTTAATATTTATATGTTATTAACCGATTGGCAGCACTAATATTGATATAAACGATATAGTCACATTCTAGGGGGAAACTTGGAGTTTGAAGTTCTACACTCTACAAATTGTTAGGTTGTTTTAACCCAACTTTTGGTCAAATATGGACAAATCCAAATGTTGGGTCAAAATATAATTAGAAAAAAAATAACCAAATGGCTGGGTTAGTCCATATTTGACACAAAGTTGGGTTAAAACAACCCAGCAATTTTTAAAATATATAGATAAATATATACTCACTTAAAATGATTGGGTTAAAAATCACCCAACGAATAACCCAACTATGGGGTGGTATAGCACCTTCCCAACTGTGGGTTATTTGGGTTAAACTCTAGCTGGGTTAAATAACCCAACTGTTGAGTTATATATTTAAATAGGATATTTAACCCATGCAACAGTCAGGTTATTTCTAGAAATAACCTGATTTAAAAAAAAAAAAGACCCATTTACTTTTTGAAAATAACCCAACATATTGACCCAATATGTGTAAC